ATTTTGTCCTAAAATATTGTAGAAGTCAAGTAGTCCAAGATTTGTTTTTTTTTTTTTTCAACATTGTGTCACAAAAGTTTTTTTTATCTGAAAATTAAGAGATTTAAAAGAAAATTAACATCTTACAGGCGATTGAAAATTTGAATAAATTCTGAGTATATTTCATGATCCTGGAGCAAGGTCTTACACATACAAGAGTGCAAGCACGATAAGTAATACCTACTGTTGAAGACTGTAATTATAAGTGTGGAACTGATATGCATGTCTTCACGTAATTAGACCCCAACTGATCTCTTGTGCCCATTGTATAATGTAGGATATTTCTCATGTCAGCACCAATTGCAGCACGGGACCTCGGTTTCGTATTCTCGCGGATGTTTCGTAGTTATCGATATCTTTGTCTTCTTAACATGAGCGGGTTAAAAAAAGAAAATATCTTTCTCGATTAAAGTTTGACAAAACAAAAGAAAGCATTGGCTTTTGTCCTTTTTTTTTAATTTAAAAGCAGGGACGTCAACATTATATGAAATTAAAAGCACTGTAAAGGTTTTTTATTCAGTGTTTATTTTTAACGATTTTCTATCCTTAATTTAACGGTAGATTTAAATAACGTTCTCATTTTATTATCAAGTTTAAGTGTTCCAATTAAAAATTATTCTCTTAGAGCAATATCAGCTGCATTTTTGAGAATTTTATTTTGCTGTTAAAATGTGTTATGTAATTTAAACCTTTTTGATCAATTAGACAGAAGTAAAGTATCAAATTGTTTCAGAACAAAGGATTCTGTACAATCAAATCTATAGTATTATACATGTATAAAAAATCAATATTGTGCTGGAGGACAATAATGTGATTTTGCTTCAATCAAAGCTTATAGATAGTTCTTCCATCGCAAATATGAAAAACAGAAGTTTATAAAGGCCCAAAAATATTATACCAATCCAGGCATCCCTTTTTTGTTTGTATCATCTGTCCTTAAAATCATGTAGGCAAATTTGATAAAGATTAATATGCTGCAAATCCTAAAGATTATTTACATCAAATTTTCAGGACATGTTTTCTCGTAAGATTTTTTATGCAGTAAATCCGTGGCCTTCCTTAATTAAATAAATATGAGTGATTCCATGGGGGGACCGATAAGATTAACGTCTTTTAAATTACGGTTAAATTGTATTCGATCATGAGGACAGAGACACAAATAATGTTAAACGTAATGTAATAATAAAAATATCTAACTATTGCGCTATATAGTTCTGTCGAACACTAAATATATAGTAAAAAGAGTTTACACATCAAGTGGATTCCTGTAGTCAGTAGTGTTGTGCTTTTAACAGATTAAATTATTGAAGCATTATCACGTTTATTATTTCATTATCAATGAAAATTAGAAACAAGTAAACAACATCAGTATGGCACACTTGTCATTATAATCATACAATGACACGTATGTAAGAGCTTCCTAAGTTCCTAAGGTTGCGTGTATTTCTCGACAGGTGGTATCAGAATTATAATTATGAATTTATTTTAGCTAACATATGGGGCTTTCTTGTTTCCTGAATTACTATACATATGTTCTTTTTTTTTTAAACACGTTTATTATATAATACACAAGTGCACGTGTATCTAAACAACTAAATTAAACATAATAATCGACGGTGTAAGAGAGAACTTTTGAAATACATAATTAGTAATATTTCAACATGTATCATGGAACATATGCAGCAAGATGAAGTCAGATGACGGCAGGGGGAAACGTATATCACTTCATGTCTGATAACCCTACGTGCAGTCATCTTGTTATCTCGGATCATGTTTGCTCTGGTAATTATCTGTATTCCATGCAATATGAAGACAAACTATTTATTAAACACGTTTAATTTTGTAAATCTGTTATTGTAAATAGAGGAACCGGGAATTATTATACCCCCCCCCAATATATCACCCCTTGACACAAACGTAATTTTTGTGTACATGATGTATGCTATGAAAAGAATCAATTCCCAAGGGGGGGGGGGGGTCTCGAGCAGGGAACTGTAGAAAATCCTCGCGACGGGAATTGATTTCGTTTAAAAACGTACCATTATTTTTTTTCATTTGCTAAATATCCATTTTTCAATTGAAACAAGAAAATCAAATCTTAACCATTAAACCAAGTAACAGTACTTATAATTGATATCAATACCGGTATGTATAAGTATACGCAGAGCAGACACAAGTCGTAAACTGAATATGAATTATTAGATTTAATAAAAAAAAAAAAAAAAAACCTAAATTTTCTTTACATGCATTAGTAAATAAAAAGGTAACGTTAGTTGATTTATCTACTCTTTTAAAAAAAAAATTGATGAAAAGAATTTCAGTTTGGTTTCAGTATTACGGAAACCATAAGGAATCGAAATTAACAGTTTCCGGAACCTGAAACCTCCTGAAACTAATAAGTATTGTTACATTGTCGTTAAATTTAATTTCACGCTGGTTTCCATTTTGCGGAAACCATTAGGAAACAAATCTAATAGTTTCAGTAAACGGAAACCCTACAGAAACTTACTGAAACTATTATATAGTTTCCGCATTGCGGAAACCATACAGGAAACTTCAACGTCAAGTTTCAGCAAGGTTTCCATATAGTTTCAGTTTTGCGGAAACTGGACTTTTCATCCAGTGTTTTTTCTTTCATTGAAAAACTTAATTACAATTTTGTAATAAAAATTTCTGACATCAAAGTTGCCGCTCATTTTGCTTTTAAATCGTAATTTGGGTCCACTGCATATGTATATACATTGTAACAAATGTATTCAGCAACCAATTTCAAACCTGTACCCCCGGGTTTTAAGTCATTCCAAATGTCGATCGTTACAATTGTTTAGCATCAGGAAATGTTAAAAAGAGATTTCAATGTGAACGGCACGTATTTGGCATACATGTTTTTGATATATAAATGCTACATATATATATATAAATGCTACATATATATATATATATATATATATATATATATATATATATATATATATATATATATATATATATATATATATATATATATATATATATATAAATTTTATATATAAATCCATGATTATTTAATTAAGAGAAAACAATACTGTGATAATGATTTTTATGAAACCTTAAAGCAAATCATTTAACAATAAAGCTTCTCAAAAGTAAATTATCTCAGACTAACATATAAAAACATGGAATCGCTAGTTATAAATTGCTAAAGATAACTGTAAGGCTGTCCAAAGTTAATTCTACGTTTAACGTCACTTACAAAATTACAAAATTTAAAACCTACGATCGCGAGGGAGGGAGGAAAAAAATAAACAAACAGAAACAAACAGAAATTCTAAACAAATATTTATATATTCAAATTAAACTTTTCAGTACACAAAAAGAACACTTGTTGTGTAATAAGAGTATAAGTTTGGTATCTTAGGCTAAAACAGTTTTACATTTCACAAGCAATATGTTTTTTCCTAAGTACACATATTGGCTTGCACCCTTTTTTGAGCAAACGAAGTAGACTGGAGGCACAGCAGAGTGGCTTGTAACTAAGTCAAGAAGTATGTCCATTGGATTTATGGTACACTGTTGGAAAATGCTTCTTCTTGTGGAAATAGTTGACCGGTCTCTACAATAAAAATCATGATGATATTTATTATATTCTCTTTAATTGAAATATCTTAAAATTGAACATATACTATGTTTCTCTGTTATTTATATTGCATTAGTTTAGCATTTGGTTTTAAAAGGGAGGGAAGGTACACTATTGGGTGTACCATGGCTGTTAAATTATTTTTCCTGACATCCACACACACAAGACAGGGTCGTTGGAATCCCCCCTCCACTCTTATTTCTTCCTCTTTCACTTGAAAGCCCTCAATCTCTGTATAACAGCTTCTTTCTCTAAATGTATAATATTTTCATTCCTTGAATCAGTTAATTGTAAGTACATGAATACTACGTGTATAATCACATCAACTTACTTCTCCTTTCAATTTTCATAGCAATATTTTAAAATGAAACTTCATTTCATTAAATAAAATTAAAGTGATATATCTCACTGTATAGTGTGACATCTCGGTTTTTCAGCACTCTATACTGAATCTTTGCAATTTTCTCTCCAATGCAGTGAATGGTTCAGCAAAAATATGACGAACTGAGAGTCTGTAGTCTGACTACTGACATAAAGCACTCGCCAAACATTTTCATTAACTTCAATTATAAAACCATCCATGTTTTATTTTATGATTGCATGCTCTTTACATCACTTTCTTCTTATAACACACCGACCGCGATTTCACAGCACATTTTCTTTCACTACAGGATGCAAAACTATGTCGCTAAATGTAAGACCAAATCGGAACAGATACTTAAAATTCCGAATTGTTTGCTTTTTTTCCAAAGACGAATTTCTTTTAAGCCTACGCGCACGGGTGAAGTTAAACGTAAAATTAACATTGAACAGCCTAATGTATTGCGTACGGATCAATGCACTTAAATTAATTGATATCTTTTCATAGTTTTCAGTCAAACTTCTTTTTAAAAGTGTTCTAGTTGTAGATGAAAAGCATATTACACGTAAGCATGAAAAATGATGACGTGTTGTACAGACAAATTATACTACCCGCAACCATTGATAAATGTCTTTAAATTTTCATGATACATCAACCTGCTGATTCAAGTATTAAGAAAGTCAATTTACCAGACAATGTTGCCTGTAACATATACATTAATATAAAATTAATAGGCATGTACATGAAATAGACATGTAATAAAACATGTGATTATGATTACTGTTATGTGCATATTTAATATGTGAAATGTTTTCATTAAATATTTTCTCTCTGAAAAACAAAACGTAACACTCTTGTTGTAGTTCGGTCTCAAAAAATTTCAAATAGAATAGTAATTTCATCATTTAAATTCTATTTTGCAAAAATAATACAAAATGCTAAATATTGATTTAATAGTGCGTTTTCTTTTAATTTAATTTTCAGGTCAATACCACACCTATCCACCTGATATAAGATGTTTTCTGTACTGTCTTCTGTTGGTGGACGACTATACTCTTGATATCAATGAACAGACTCACAAAACACTGTTCAAGGAAATGAGAGAAAGGTATTACACAGACCTACCTTCAAGTGACGAAATAAACTTAACAGATAACCGTATTACGGAGGGAATTATTGACAGAAAGGGAAGTGTTATCAAGTTTAACTCCACAGAAATCAGACATGACGTCATGTATGCATTTTTGACGGAGTGTCTGATGGAGGAATGTGATCTGGAGTTTTACCTGACAACAGCTTCAACTTGTGTTGTGTCAGAATATTGTAGATCCTCGGATTATAAGAGGAGTGAGGGGGAGAGATGTCTGTATTTACCAAAGTGGCCGGAGAAGATGTACGACTTCTTCATAGACAAACTACAGCTGGACATCATCACACACTGTACCATGTCTGACGAGGGGATTCATGACAGTATCAGTAAACGTTGTAAGTATTTATATATATATAAATGAAAATATATCAATTTTTGATAATGTTATAATGAATCAGAAAAAGAAGAAGAAAAAAGAAAACAGCATCCTTTTTAAATAATGAATTTTAGTACTTACAGTCATTTTTTGTATTTCTACAGGTGTATTATTATAAACAATGCATTTGTGGCGTCTGTCCTTTATCCTATTCTGAAGATACATGTACAACTCTGCTTTACTGATTTCACATTTCATAAACAGACACATGAATAAAACAATACAAATACATTAGACTGAAAAAAGGCAAAAGAAATCTAACAGATATCGAAATACATATGCAAGTATTCTGCATCAAAAAATATTTACAGAGATTTACTATCAAGTGACCAAACCGTAGAACTGACTCTTATTCCATCATTATCCAAATATCAATCTGACCTGTTGCATTTGTGTCATCGTACAAACAGGTCTCTTAACTCTATCTTTTACCCTTCGTTTACATGACTTCTGTCATAACGTTTTTACTTAACGTTCTATTGACATATGAAAATATCTTTTAGTATCCCCTTCAATAAAAAGGAGATGAGAAACCGCCAAAGCGTAAATTCAATAAATTTTGACAGGGGGAGGGAAGGGGGTGTTAAAGTCAAGGGGAAGAGGGGCAACCTGTTTATCTTAAATTGAAAGTAAAAAATTCAAAATTTACGTTCAGAAAAAGTGTAGGGAGAGGCAGGCCCCCAGCACACATACCCTTGCTCCTCCCCCCGATTCCATGTTCTTCAGTGTTATATATGTTTACCTAAGTGAAAGTCGATTGCAAGTCAAATAACAAACAAACAAACAATCATACTAATTTTGTGTGATTTTTACTGGTTCAGGGTATATAGTCCTTTTACTATTTCAATATTTAAAGCATCAACCGAGGACTGGGCATTATTCAATTTATTAAATCACTCAATCTTTTGGTGATTTTTAAACCTTTTTTATTGATGTTTCAAATTACATTTGATAATCTTTTTTCAATCCGAAGGTTTGGTACTTTAAAGTGAAAGGTTCAGGTCTTTCGGCTGAGACCTTAAAAAACCTAGGCCCCCTGTCACGGCAGGCGTTGACACGATGAAGATCCCTCACAGCTCAGTGGTCCTGATCACGAGTGCCAAGAATCGAAGACCTAAATATAAAGCCCTTCACCGGCATATGGTGATGTCTTTATATGAGTAACAAATTCTCGAACGTGACGTAAAACATACAATCAATAAATTATGACATCAATATCAGAAAGATATAAATACTTTTGTAGTAGGTCGATTTTTTAAACAATTCACGATACCCGTTCATGTTTACTGCCTAACTGTTTTAAATGCCTCCTAGCATAGATAACATGTCAATTTCTTATGGATTGTTGGTGGCAACCTTTCTGGCATTTAACGTGAGCATGTACTACTCATTTCAAACATTGATTTAAATTCATTTAAACCCTTAACTGGATCATTATACTGACTGACCAGGAAGTAGAAATGAAATAGGACTAAAGAGACATAATTTGTCGAAATGCGCATTGGTACATGAAAACTGGTACCGTGTATGATTTACACACAACTCAAATTCAACTCATATCTCTCTTTTATTATGTTCATATTTTATGGCGTGTTCACCAATATTCTTGTCATTTAACAGCAAACCACGCTTTATTTTCAACTCTTAAAAATTTGTTTGCTCATAATATTTTATATAAACATTTAGCAGAATGTTAAGTGTAGCATTTAATTTTTTATTCAGTAAATATACCTGAAGAAGTATTAAGATGGGATATCGATGCTAGAAAAAGGTTTGTGAAGAACTCCAAGCAAGAAAGCGTGAAAATGTTTCGCGCCAGAGGTATGATAGTTGGATGTGCAGGAGCAGGAAAAACAACTCTTCTTAGAAAGCTTCAGGGAAGAAAGAAAACAGATGTAGATAAGCAAACTGAGACAACTATAGGTCTTGAGGTCCATGAAGATTTGTTTGTTATCGAAGACAACAAGTTAATAGGTGATATATCGTTTCTCGCAAAAAATGAATCTTCCGAGTTTATGTAAAACGTGTAACAGAGACAGGTCTTACCAAATAGTACTAACGAAAATCATACAGCGACGATTATTTCAATCAATTCCCCCTCCTTTCGTCTTTGTCGTTTTCAGTTTTTTGAATGTGTTTAGTATCGGTAGGGTGTAATGAAGTTTGTTAGAAATTTGTTTAGGAAGTTAGGGACGAAGGAGTCCGCCTAGTGAACGATGATAGGTTGATAATTAATGTACTGTAGGTCTGTGTTTGCATGCCTATTGTACAGAACTCGTATGCTTATCTTCCAACAATTAACTATTTACTTTTGTTGATGTCCTCTACACCTGAATTTCAAAAGACTATACGCTATCCAACTACAGCACAATTCCAGTTTTACGTCGGAAAAATGTATGAAAAGTCTCTTATGTGATATGCATGCATTTGACAGGGTTCTAATTCACCACTGAAAAGTCAGTAAATTTGTCTTTGTTTTACTGTACATGACTGATAATTGTACAGTATACCTGTGTGTATTCATTCGTTTATACGTTTCGTACGTTGGTCCAAGAATCTTGAAAGCAACATGAGGTGACCGCAATCAACTTTTAATAAAATGATTGCGTTCTACCACCATTTTTTACCCGTTTAACGTCAGTTATGTTTTACTGATCAAACTGTGGATACCTAAAAGGAAATATTCGACCAAAAAGTCGAAACTTATTAATGAAGTTTCTTGAAACATTTAAAGACATTTTGTCATGCATATACTAAGTGAGTTTTTTTTTATTTATCTATTTATTTATTTATTTTTGAATTATGTGTTTTTGCTTTTCTGTCCTCAATCAGATTTTAGTACCAGGAAGGCAAATAGTGAAAACCAATATCTTGACAACAATGTGGTAAGCATGACAGACTTTGCGGGACAAGTGGCGTACTACGCATGTCATCAGGTATACCTGTCAAGGAGAGCATTCTATATCGTGGTTATTGACATGTCCAAGAAGCTTGATGAAGAGAGCCGAATGTATGACACAGATCGCCATGACCCAACTGGATCCTTATTTCACTCCTGGACTTATGGAGGTGATTAACACTTTAATAAATAATAATTAAGCTATAAAAGATTCAGATGTCCTTAATTAAGTTGGTCCGATTCCCTACCTAAATAAGAACAAGTATAAATTTTAATTAATTTGATTATATTTTCCAAGGTAAGAAATAACAAAAGAAATTTAAAATTAACATATCTTTTTTTTATTCAATTAGTGAAATCATGAACCCTACTCCTAGGAATACCTCTTTTTCGTGTGTCTATCTTCTCTATTTATGAAATAAGTATTTTGCAGAGGGACTGTGTGAAAAGCTTTGCAAACGAGGTATGTTGTAAACATTGAAAAAGAAAACCATTTTGACACTCCCCAAGCAATGCCAATGAATAGTACGACAAGAATCAATAACATTGTAAATATTATACTGTATCTTATCTGTATTTACAAAATAGTAATTCGATGTGAAGAATGATGAATTTACACACCAAATTTAACACCGTAGTGAAAAATTAACTATGTACATCAAAATCTTAAAAAAGAAATATAAGAAAGAAAATTTAGGTTAAAAAAAGCAAATAAAATATTAAGGATGATTGGAAAATATTGATACCATATTGCCAACTGACCATTTTTTTTTTTTGAATAGTCACCTATTCAAAAGGATAAACAAAGATGATAATATTCAAGCGAGTATAATTCCTCAAATTTTATAATTATTATCAGTGTATGTTTGATCATCAAAGAGAATCATCTAACATTATAGTGTATTTTTGTCCATCTCAGAATTGCACTTTCTTTTTCATATGTATCAAAAAGAAATAAAGGAATAATTTTATTATGATACTTATGTGCGCTTATAACTGATCACGTGAATAGTAATAAGCAGGTAAAACTACTATCACAATATGTAATGATTGCTTATCTTCTTCATACCAAGCCAGTAAGAAAAAGGAAATTTATGAATATGTAATTTTTTTTTTTGAATAAAATATTATTCAAATTAATTTCAATGAAAATATATTTATTTATCTATCTTTTTTAAAGACTATTTCCATTTTTGGCTGCAAACTATAAATACATATTGCAATGAAGGAATAATACAAGGGAATCCGAAAGACACTACAGCAATCAAAGACGCCAAGGAGAATATCAATTTTCACCCAGTAATCCTTATTGCCTCCCATAAAGACCAGCTGGTAAGAACAATGTGCCCTCTGTTTTCGACTAACGTATTATATATTTGCGTAAAGTTAGCATATTCTTCAAGTAGACAATTATCTTCTTATGAATTTTGGTCATATATTCCATTCTTCTTACTCTCTTACCTTCTTCTTAGACCATCTCCCTTTCAATAAACATAACGAAACAAAATCACGAATAAATAACTACATGTATGTTTAGGTAACATCCATTTTTAAGCCTATTAAAGAGTTTTGTATAATATTTACCTTTCCTTTACTAGTAGTTTCGTATCCCAAATCTTGTTTGTTACCTTCTCGGGGGGGGGGGGGGGGGGATGTAGTAGATAAACTCTACCTTAACATACATTGTTTAAGAAACATTTTAAACAATGATAACATTGAGCGTTTAGGCGTTTGTGTGTGACATATCTTTCAAACACCTTAATCTACCAAATACTGATTTTAAACCTTGAAATAATTACAAGGTTACACCAATGATGCCATGTCTTGGTTTAATTTCTACTCAAATATATAGGAGTTCAGATAATTTATATTTATATTTGTTTTCAGCTTATTTCATGAATTTTAATGATTTTATTTAATGTTGAGGCAGATTGTATAGAATGTTCCCATCTTGACCAGCAATGTCTTTCTCAAATTTGACCACGTGCTGCCAGACCAAAATACAGGCCTTCGTAGTAACGGATACGTCAAAGGTCACAAACTCACCTAAGCACTTGATTGTTTATCTTCTTTACTTGGTGTTAGAGATGTGTCTAGGATGTATTGGACTGTCGAATTTTCACTGATAAATACAATACTAATGAATGGCGGCATATACTCCACGATGAGTTTAATGTCTACTTCTGCATCACGTGTATTGGCCATTGATAATCAACGTGAGAAAGACAGAAACGTTTTACAAGCAAGTGTTGTAAAAATTAATAAATCTATTGTCTCGAATATTCTGGTTAATTGATCCACTCATGAATATTTCCTTCAAAATTTAGTCTGGAATAACACGATTTTGTATTAAATGATGTTGACTTAACTGTTCTTCCACTAGACTTCTGTAGCTGCATGACGTTCCAAGATAAAGTTTTGATCCTACTAGCAACAGCTTAGGAGATGATTTCCTGATTAGAGTGGTTTCTCATGACTCTGATGGAGTATCTTCGTTTTGAACAAAGTTTTAACCCAGCTGAAACAAAGAACTGTTATCAGAAGAAATGTATAATGGAATCACTGATTCAAATGCCCTTATTACCTTGCAGAGTGTTGTTTCCAGTTTCATTCTCCTGATGTAGGATTGAGCGTGAACAATCTGATTCACCATTAGCACAAGTTTATATATTTCCAGCTTAATGTCTTACAGTCATTGGTAGCTTTGTGTGTTTAGTTGTCAGTTATATTTTCCATTTGATGTAGCACAGTGTATATTTGTAGAGTTAAAATTACCACTTCCCCTCAGGTTTAAGAGCTTATCTGCTTACTAGATATCAGGTACATTATGAAGTTGCCAGTACGAAAATGGTGGACAAGGCATCGGTCTGTTATTCCTTCTTATGCCAATCATGTTTTCCCTTAATATCATCACTGATTATTGCAGACGCTTCTCGTCAAATTAGGTCAAGCGATTTTTCTACAGCACTACCCTAAATATCAGCAGTATATAAATTAAAAAAATAAATAAATATCAGCAGTGTATTAAAAAAAATTAAGAAGTACATGTAGCTTGAGATAGGGTGGATTTTTTAACTAGTTTGTCTCATATTTACCGGTATATGTTTTCAAGGGTGTTTTGTACATCACTGAAAACTAATCTAATGAATATTTGGGGTATATTGGGTTATGGCTCTGTAATCATAGTCTCTCTCTCTACAGTGCGTTTTTCTACGATGTGTTTTTCTGCATATAAAGTCGAAGACATTTTATTGATCTTCTATGAATTTGCTTGTTTCAGAGTCCTTTTAAGAGACTTGTCTTGACAGAATGCCCACGGAAAGGTCTCTGAAAAGTCTCTGAAAGGAGAGTTATATTGATGAGCTTTTTGATGTGTATATATCTTGTAAACATTTTGCTAATTGTGAGGAATTTGTGCCAGACTATTTTATTACATATCCTTTATCGGGATAATGACAATTACGGGTACTTGGTTTTTAAAGAAATGATGCAAAATAAATCTTCACCTCGGAGAAGGTTGTAAATTGCATCTAGAAAATTATCTAAAATAATTTTAAGACGATATTTTTTTTAATCTAAAAATCATTGAAATTAAACGGTTAAGAAACAAATTAAAAATACAAATTTACTTCCTCAAGAGGCATCACTAATTAATAAACAATTAATTAATTACGTCAATAGGCATCAATAATTAATCAAGACTTAATTTTGTCTCTTCTTTCATAGAGAGATAATGCAAACTTATCGCATTAAATGGAAAAAAAATGATAAGAAAAAATGTATATGAGCCTATAAAGATTTACGAAAACCTATTTACTTGTTTAATTTAAGAGCAATTTGACCGATATCCTTTTTTGACACTATTTTTTTTTTTTTTTTTGGACATTGACTAATTGTATTCTTTTCTTTTAACAACTTATCAATTAATAAATTGAAAAAGCTTGTGAAGATATTAATCACTGATTAAGAGACTTTGCAAAAAAAAAAAAAGAAAGAAAGAAAAAAAAAAGAAATGGAAAATTTGTGTTAATTAATTAATTCTTAATCATATATTAAATGATTATGTCATTTAAATAAGGCCAAGTTTTTTTTTAATTAAATATCGAACAGGATTTTTTTTTAAGTGAGTCGGGGGGGGGGGGGGGTTAAAATAAAATTCCATATTTTACATAGTCGACAGAAAAAATAATTAAAAAGATTAAATTTTAAAAAAAATCTTTGATTTATTTAATTCAATTATTCGATAAAAATTGCAATATATACTGTTTGAAGCTTAAATTATGACAAATTCAACAAAGAAATGAAAGTAGATTATTATGAGAGACAAGGTATATATGAGAATTCCAAAACACGATGCAGTATTATCGATGACCAAACCAAAAAAGTTTATAATGGGAAGTTTGAAAATATTGCTTGCGAATATGCAAATTAAGTATTGCATGATTCATTTTAAATTGAGTACAAATATAATTACATGTAAGCGGTACGCACGGTGAACATGAAGTCAACATATAACCCTCTGTTAAAATCATGCTGGTCATTACTTTAATTTCTTTTAAACTTTAGCATAACTTCGTCATCGGCCATACTATAATTCCTTTTCCTGGTAGTTGACTTGGAAATACTATCATGTATAAGGACAAAGTAATTTCAACTTTTATAAATTTGACATTTCTGCATTCATGTTGGCATGTTTAGCACATTTCCGAAACAGTTGATAATAAACGTGAAATGAATGTATGATAATAATGAATTTCAATACGGCGGCAAAGCAGAAAAGCCGATTCATTTGCCTTTTTTTTCTATTTTCTTAGTGCACGTGAATTGACTATCGGCGGGAAATTAAAAAACAAAGTGAAGAACACGGGCCTTTATTTTCATACCTCCGCTCCAAAGGAGAGGGGGTATACTGTTTTACCCTTGTCTGTCTGTCTGTCTGTCCGTCTGTCTAGCTGTGTGTCTGTCCGTAACAAATTTTGGTCGCAGTTTTCTCAGCAACCACTCATCGCAGATGCTTGAAATTTTAGCACACCCTTTGTTTAGGCATGTCATATTATGGGATTCATTTTTGTACAGATTCGTTGTCCACTTCCTGATTATCACCGTTTCTGTCCATTACTGAACTTGTGTATTCACATCAGAGCGGGAGTATTATTAGTGAGCATTGGCTCACAGACTTCTTGTTATTTGGTTTTTGCTAAAATTGCAGTCGCTACTCCAGGAAAATCATTTTATTAAAAAAAAATGGTGGCCTTATTTTCATTTTCTACTTCTATTTTCATGCCACAATCTAGAAATTCATCAATTGTTTTGAAGTTAATCAGTCCATATTCTCATAACGAAGTGCTAAAAATGATCCTCAAATCATTTATCCTGTGCTCAGGACTCCCCCTTCTCTCCATCCTTCTTCAAAAGTGCATAAGATACATGTATCTGAAATTTGTATTCCCCTCATCATGATCCTTGCAGAACCAAGGATGTCGGGAAAAATGAAAATAGATTAAACACTTACTACTGTATTATTAAATAAACTATTCATATTGTCTGCACCTAAAAAATCTCAAGGATCAATAAGTGATGGACATTTAGCCTCTAAATGATTACCTTAAGTACTGAATGTCGGGAATAAAATTCATTTAAGGCATCATGTAAGACATCAAATGGGACAGGTTTATTATCTCACATAAAAGAACTCTGCTCATTATTTACGATATTATGAAGGATGCGACACAGGAGGAGGACATTTGTGAGTTATTTACGGAGAGTGTTCAACACCACTGTATTACGCAGAATATGTTCAACAAAGGGAAGGAAAACCGAACCACGAGTATAAATATCCTGAAGCACTGAAAGTTTGCTTTGGTGCACACCTCATGAAATCTCCGCGTGTTCTCGTTTAGTGTGTACCAATTCCAAGCATAAAGAAATTTCCTTTTAGATACCAGATTTTCTTTGAGAATGAGACTATGAGGAGGTAACTTTTCTTTCTGTACATGTCTTGTTTTCATAGGCTAAGGGGTAATCACTGATATTATCATGAGGATAATTTGGGTACTCTGACTCACCTTGCAAAATATATCCAGTCTCAAAAATATCTGGAATATCCGTGACATTTATTTTCTTCTTCGCATTGATCACAAGCAAAATCTCTTCCTGGAAAAAGGCATTGGCGTACTCTTTCGATAGAGATCGTTCATTACTAAATAGGTAAAAAAAAAATAAGCCAAGAATTGGGTTGCAGTGGGTCATAATCAGAGACCATTGGGTAGTTAGCCTTGCCAGATTTCTTGGAGATCATAGGAACGCACCCTCCTATGCCCTGTTCAATCATTAAGACAATTTCAATATCACCTAGATATTGTAGTTTGTCCTTTGTCTTTTTAACTGGGCCTGCAATGCAAGACCCGGAAATGTATAAAAGTGAGGTCCAGGTGATATAACTGCATGAGATTTTCTTATCTTTGAATTTCCTAATAGCACTCATCATGTGATGCAAGTCAAAGGTGCGACTATATGCTCTGGGCTATGACAGAATAGAAGTAGATTGCATAGAATAGTTTGCACTTACCCTTTTTAAATTGTTATTATAAGTAGAATTCACTATGTGCAGCGCCCCTGTATTTTCCCGTTAAATCATAGTTATTTTTTTTTTATCTTTCTCTGTTTCTAAAAGTTGCTGACATATATGTGACAATGTGTGGCATTTTAAAATGCAATCTCTTCTTGTGAAGAGAGAGACATAGACTGGACAAGAAACAGTATCCCATCATTGTTTTTCCCTCCAAACATTCAAAAAGATAATCCATAGTATTGGTCCTCTATACACATAGACAGGTTTGAATCTGCTGTGGTCAGAAATTTGGCATAATAACAAATTCCACAAGATTTGTGTTTTTGGAAGAGGTTAGTTGAGGAATGTTGTGGTTTTGAATTACACGATTGAGCAGGTACATTTAAATTTTCTAAAGCTATATGAAAGGTACTTTCACATTGTTTTCTGTCTTGTTTGAAGAGTACCCAATGGTAATCTGCAGATTTTGGAAATTTTAACTTATGAGGATCATGAGGAGAACACCGTTCACGGTAGCTCAGTCGGTAGAGCGCTCGCTCCGTGATCATGAGGTCATGAGTTCGAATCTCGGCCGGGACTGATCTAAGTCGATAAAAAATGAGAAGCAACTGTTCCTTCGCCATGCGCTCGGCACTTTGAAGTGAAAGTTGCGTGTCCTTCGAATGAGACCTTAAAAACCGAGGCCTCTTGTCACGGCAGGCGTTTGCACGATAAAGACCCCTCACTGCTGAATGGCCCTGAGTGCCGAGTAATGGTCAAGATGAAGCCCTTCACCGGTATATGGTGACGACTCTATATGAGTGAAAAATTCTCGAATGGGACGTAAAACAATATACAATCAATCAATCATGTGAAGAACAGTAAGGAACATATCCCTTCAACATTTCCTGTCTATAAATCTCATGGAGAAAGTAATACTTAGCTTGATGACAAGAATTGAGACACATGTGGGCGATGATTATGATGATGAGATGTATTACATTTTGAGTATGAACCGAATATGTTACATAAAGTATTATTTATTCACATAAATAATATGCAATGTCTGCATATTTCTGTTGGTCTTTCTGTTGACCACAAAACGG